GAGAAAACGCGTCGAACGCTGTAAACGTACCGATACCTGGTAATAAGATCACTGCATCGGTTCGAAGATGTGCACAAGTCAACTGATATACACTCTGAATTCCATTTATTGAAATATGCATCACAAAAAAGAAATAAACTCCATAAAAACTCAATAAACACACTGTATCTACTCCGTACAGTCTAGCGCGTCGATACACTTAGTCCGTGCTGATCAGATTTTGGTCAGGGATAATATCAAGAGTGGAAAAGAGTGGTATTTGCACGGCTGAAATAGGGGGGGGGGTGTTCTAAAGTATAATTATAACGGCTTCGTAAGGTATAACTGAAAATTGTCTATCTAGTTCTAATAAACATTCTTTATATAGTCTGCAGTTGTTTTGCATCTCAAAATTCATTTGTCAATTACAACTGATTATTTTAGTACTAATCTCAAATCTTAACCAAGTAATTTGATATACGGTAAATATTTAGTTCAAGACTTAAAAGCATTTAACCAGAATACAAAAGTTTAAGTGTACATCAGTACGTTCTTTAACACACACGCGGAAAAAACATCCCCCTTTTACACTTATATTGAGGCATTTGTATTTTTAAAGGGGGGGGGGCAGAAATAATTGACATGGCCGTTACCTAAATATTGTTGGAAGACAGACATTTCTGCCAATTCCATTTTTGAAGATTTTTTATTGTCTAACTCCGACCACAAAGTATGAACATTTTTGCGGAATGTGGCTGTTTTATAATTATTACAGGAAGTCTTTCGAGATTTCAGTATCTCTGTCTGACAGTCTAGTCTTTTTTAAAAATAAAAATAGTTTCTGTTGCAATATTTGGGAGATACTTTTAAAAACTTTGGTAGGGAAACTTGGAACCTGGTGGAATACAGATAATTTTGAATTACTCTTTTATTCATTGAACTCTCTCGCTCTCTCTCTCCTCCTGAAACCATCTGTAAGCGCAATAATAGATATAAAATCATATGTATTTTGTGCTGTACCATTTATTAGATCTTGGGACAGATCAAAGATTTTTTTTTGTCAGGGGGGGTGTCGAAACTTGTTCAAAAATTGAAATAATAATTTTACTTTTGACAAGAAAATAAATCTAAACGCCGAAATTGAAAGGAAAATACATGTAAACGTGAAGTCTACATCATAGGAATGAGAACATTGGGAACTTTCTCAAATACATGTACCTTCTCAGGTAAGGAATCTGGACAAAAATTATTTAGACAAGAGGTATAAAAAAGCTAATTTTTGGTAGAATGTGGAACTCTCATCGGCAGTTTGCTTTCCCTTCTTATATGCTTCGACTATTAATAATTTATATCCAACCCAGATATTTTTTGACATGCAAAAAACCCCCCGTAAACTCGCCCAAACTTCAAAACCTATTTCGGGGTAGGGGGGGGGGTAGCCGATGACTTATAATGCTTCAAGCCTTAGACTTTTCATACCAATTTAACACAAATTCGCGTTTATCAGGGAGTCTGCGTTATCCGAGGGGGTTCCAACGCAACTTTTTTTCTTGCTTTAGTAAATAAATTTAATAACCTTGCAAATCCCAGGGGAGGAGGGGGGGGGGTCCTAACCCCCTCTAGATCCGCGCATGGCACTCATGCATAGAATCACACCACAGCCACTTCAATTTATATTGATGGGGGACCTCCACAATCAGTTGACAAGCAAAAAAAAAAAAAAAAAAAAAAAAAAAAACAAAAAACAAAAAAAAAAAACAAAACAAAAAAACCTATGCAACACACTCTATACAATCCTTTTTGGTAGGAGATAAAGGAGGCTTCCTGTAACTTTTCTGTTCAGTACATTACTTTTGAATGCTTGAATCTGCGTATTTTCCTGCAAACAAAAAAAGTGGAGGGAGCTTCAAAATCAAAATTTTAATTTATTTAAAACGGGGGCAAAGATTGTCCTCAGAAAAAGTGAGCCCCCCCCCCCCCTCCATCTGCATACTACGGGAACATTTTAAACCTTTATCTTTACCGAATCGAAATATTTCATGCATACTTCTTAAAGTTAGTTACTTCTGAAAATGATCCAAAAATGGTAAAAAAGTTTGGAATCTTCCTTGCATGTTACTCTTGGGTGGTCGAAGCCATTAGACAGGGTTACCAAGACAAGATAGAAATTTGTTCCCATTGTAATTTAAAAGAACTCAGAGGTGAGTTTCATTACATACTAAAGTGCAGCTCGCTTCTTTCAGAAAGAATGCAGTGCTTAACAGAAAAAAAGCATAAAATTTCAGAATGTGATTAATTTTAAACACATTATGAATAACAATAAACACTGTTTTTTGAGAAAATTGTGCTCGTTTATAAAGAAAAAAAAATATGCCCCCGCCTAAATTCCCATACTTCACATTTATAGCAACGTCAATTTTTTTTTTGTTTAGTTTCTTATTCACTCATGCTTTATAGATCTACTGTTATGTATAAAATCACCTATATATTTTTGTGATTTTTTTATACTGTTGTAAAATGGTGAAGAGATTCAAATAGTTGATTGAAAAATGATTGAAGGTACGCGGAGGGAAGTAAATCCTCGAAAATGTACAGATCTAGAGAACTGAAAGGACAGAGATTTTTTTATTTCTTCAAATTATTCATATTATTAGACGTATAAATATCTATACTCTATATTACAGAAAAAAAAACATTCTCTCTCTCTCTCTCTCTGTATGTGTACAAAAATAAAGGCCGGGGGTTCCAATCCCTGGAACCCCACTCCACCTCTGGATCCGCCAATGAATTCTATTTTGATTATTTATGTACCATAGAATCAAACTCGTTTATTGTGTATAAAATTATGAAAATAAGTTTAAATCAAGTTATATAAGGTCTTTATTTAAAAAAATAAATAAATAAAGCCAAATACACATTATTTATAATGAAATATTTGATCGTAAAAAAATCCGATCTTTTCAGAGTGCGTTATGCATTTTTTTTTACCCCCCCCCCCTTTCACGGGAGAATCTCGTCAAAGGATGAATGATTCGTAATGTTGCATGCTATAAAATAAATTTAATGTAATTAAGCCATGTCTAAAAATTTTGTTTACATTTACATATACAGACAAGAGTAATATTTATTTTTGAAAAAAAATTGCACTTTTTCAGTCAACCAAAAAATAATGTTGCATGCTATAAAATAAATTTAATGCAATTAAGCCATGTCTAAAAATTTTGTTTACATTTACATATACAGACAAGAGTAATATTTATTTTTGAAAAAAAATTGCACTTTTTCAGTCAACCAAAATACCAGTAAGCTTTCCACCTTTGAAATTTCCCCTGACCAAATAGACTATCGTCGTGGACCACGTGTGTCCAAGTGCTATGTGGTGACAATTTTTTACTGTTCAGTTAGCAATGGATTACATGAATTCAGAGATGCATATTTCAATAAAAGTAAAATATGATATTTCTTTCGACATGTGCACATCCCTGTAACGATAGCAGTATTCAGGTAAATATCTTTATCATTGCGTTCGATGCGTATTCTCGACCTGCATGCGTGCATATCCAAACGGCTTTTGCTGTTTTCCGTGTTATTTTTTCTAAATTGCAGCAAATGCATTCAAAAATAATTTACTTCTCAGTATAGTTGTAGTTTTTGTTAACTTTTAAAACATGTATTTGGTCAGTTTATGGATTTATGACAACTATGCTATCGGAGATGTATACATGTCGACAGCCAGGCTAGAAAATCACTCAAGTGAAACAAATGCACCAGGCTTTATATAACAGGTACAGGTGGCCAAAAATTTTCAATTAAATACGGCGGAATCGAAGAAATATGGCGGACAAAGGCGTACAGGAATGTAGTAAGTCGTACAAAGATGAAAAATGATGCCTTTTTAAGAGTTCATGTCAGCTTTAAAATAGGTAATGAACATTAGGTATTTGGTTTATGTACGTTTATGTTTCTGAATGTTTTACAATTGATTAATGAAACAGTCATTTATAATATAATGAGTCTAAATATAATTATATTATGTAATGCAAAATAAAAAGGTTATAGCGAGTACCATTCCTAACATACAAGTTTTCATCTTTTTATTTCATGCTGAGAATATAATTGATTTATATTCGGACGAACAAAGTGAGGGAGAATATAATCTAAATGGAACACGTATCTGTGAGGAAGAAAATTAAAACTGCACCTTTTCCCTCTGCAGATGGCACCAGTTGATGGGACTTACAACATTTAATCATGACACTGCTAGAAAAATCTGTATGTTTCATGCATATTAATTACAGATAATAGAGATACATTATCGAAACAGCTGGAAGTTGATTCGATTCTTTTCAGGTTTTGAAAATAAAATTTTCAATATATACTAGGCTATTAATTTTTTTTCTGTCTGCTGGCAGTTATCTAAATGTAGAATCAATGAATTAACATATTTATAATATCTTATGTTCAGCCTTCTTTTCTTAATTTTTTTTTCTGATTTTGAATCTATTCAGAAAGTTTAAGTTTAATTTCTGATTCATTAAATATCGTTTTATCAAAAAAAAAAAAAAAAAAAAAAAAAGAACAATGTTAAGAACTACAATTTATTAACGTGTACTTTCAGTTTCATAGATGACAGAATCCAAGTCTTTGTCATGCTATTGTGTATACAATTACATACTAGACTGCCAAAGTCTTTCCTCGCTAACCATGGAACCTTTACATAATTATTCATTTTATGTGAAAATATTATCCTATAGTATTTTATGGACTCATTTAACTTAAATATTACTGTGCATTACCAAAAGTCAACATTGTCCTTAATCTTGTTTATTTTTTTCAACTTTATCCTGATTGAATTTTTAATGTGTATATTGCCCGTATCAGACCCCACATTATACAAAATAATTATAACAAGTCGGAAATTGATCGCATTCGTTCTGCTGAGAACATTTAGTGTTTTTGACATTTATGCTGGGAACAGGAAGTATATGTGTTTAGTATATACATATGTGTATATTTTATTTCATATATTCATAATCAAAATTGAACAGCCAAGAGAAAGAAAAGAAGGGGGTAAGTTTGTTTTTCTTCATATGTAATGTTTTTTAAATATGAAAAGTCCTATTGTAGGTTTTTCATTTAAATTCCATTTTAAGTTATTTAAGGAAGGTTTGACGTAAAATCCAGTGAAAATCTTCCTGATAGTTATTTTAAAAATATTTGAAGAGCACTGATAATGCATGAGAACTCTAACAAATCAGAAAAAATCCTAACAGTGTTATAAGAATTTAATTACCTACACCATTGTAATTCGAAAAAAAAAAAAATAAAGAAGCACATAGAAAATCGCAGATATAAGAATTTCGTCGCTATTTCGTGTATGCAAAATCCCTACATTGTAAATAGTGTTTTATAAGGGTATTTACAGGAACCGTTGTAATTTGAAGTTATAAAAGACACTCATATATATCTCACGGATATCAGATAGTTAAAGCATAATAAAATACGTGTCCTTGTTTTCCTAAACGCAAACAAATGATTTTTCCCTTGGATTGCAGGAAGTGCACATACGATATTCAGTAATTATGAATCTAGATGAAATATTTTAAAGTTCAGTGCTTGCTTTACTTTCCGGTTTATGTTTTTAAACCGTTTTCTTATCCCCATATTTCATCCAGGTTTACCAGGAAAAATGTATTGTCCTCTCTGGCATATTTTGTTCTGTCATAGTAGATCATTTCATCATACATCCCTTGTTAATGTTAAAGATGACGTTTACTCAGGTTTCAGAAAACAGAAAGAAATTCTATAAAGTTTGATATGTTAAAACAAAATGTGTACTCTCTGAAGTACGTTGTATCTTAGAACACTCGTCCAATTCATTATGTATATTAAGGATAAAATATTAATGATAAAAATAACGATAAACTAGAGCCGAGCTCGTTGCAAAGCAACGAGTAGGTCTTCCATTGGAGCTATGGACAGGAAGTACCGACCTTGGGTCAAGGTCACTACACTTTCTTATAAATGTGAACAACCTTTCTTCTCAGTATGAGCCTCCAGTGAATTTTAATCACAAAGTTATGCTTAAACATTTTTTCTCTGTCAGTGACCTAGATTTGCCAGAAAGACCTTTGATCAGGGTCATGACACAACCTCCAATCATAAGTAATCTATGTTTTAAGTAAGAGCCTCCAATGATTTTCATTTACTAATTCATAGCGTGGGAAAGAAATTTTTTCTGTCAGTGACCTTGATCTTAACAAAATTGGCTCTGTGTCAAGACAAACCTTCAATCTGAAACAACTTTTAGTGATTCAAAATTCATAACTCTGACAGGAATTTTACAACTTTTCTGTCATTGGCCCTGAATTTGTTAAAATGGCCTTATTTTAGGTCATCTGAAACTGGCGGACTATAAGCAATTTTTATCAAGTATGAACTTAAACAAAAATTGTCCGAATTGAAATGATACTATTTTCGGAGTCAAAATCATAGAAAAATCCTTTTGTCACAAGCAATCTCTGTATCAAGTATGAGCAAACAAATATTCTCGATTACATATAAATGACTGCGACAAAACATTTATTCTTTCTCCAGTGACCTTGAACTTGCCGTAATATTGCCTTGATTCATGACACATTGTAGGATCATTATAGCCTGGCCTTCTGGGAAAAACTTTGAGGGACAGACAGACATCTGAACAGTTAAACAGACAATTTAATTCCCAACCCATCCACCCTACCCCCTAAAATACACAATCACTTGGTGGGGGAAACTCTGGTCATGATTTGAAAAGAAAGTAATCTTTTTTATATCAGTAAGCTTTCATAAGTATGGTTTCTCATTCTTGCCCAGAGGTTCATAAGAATAATATTCTAAAACGACCCCTTCTTATTTTACTAACCGTTTTCTTCATTATCTTCATTTTATATCATCCAAGGTCGCCCGCATAGCGCATCCTTACATCGTGGGTTCGAATCCCACTGTGGGACGTGGGGGCCTGTTCTTCGGATGAAACCGTATAAAACAAGGCCCCGTGTCGCTTAAGGTGCTGGCACGAAAAAATTCCCCCTCCCCCCGGTCAAAGGCCCTAAGTGCCGATTATAGAATATTTGAAGCTCTCCACGGCAAGTGCATGATGGCATCTCTATATGAGTGAAATATTCTTGAGAGGGACGTTAAAACATACACAATCAAACATATCCCCCCCCCCCAAAAATGATTAAGAATTTTGCCTATGAAATATTTCGGGAGGGGTGTTGAAAGTTTAGTCTACGTACAACTATCAGTCCATTGAATAAGAATGTTTACTTCGGAATATTTCTTTAAAATTGTACGGTTTTCTTATCAATTTATGAACGTAAGTTATTTTCAGCTTATAACAAATTAACATCTGCTATAGACAAATTGAAATAATTATTGTGTAGATGTTTATGAATATCTTCCTAGATCTGTTTATATGAAACATTTTCTATAAAACATTTACCCATGATCTATTTAATTACCTTTTTATTTGGATATCGGCCGATGAAGATGATTAAAATTCGCATCATCTCATTCCATTTCGTCACAATTCAGAAAAACAACCTTGAGGTATTTTAAAACATCATCGGATGTTAATATTCAAACAACATCAAGTTTCTATTTATGAAGGATAGATGGGGTTGAAAGTCCCTTCTATATTATTAGTATATTTCAGGCAATAGCTTTACATTCAATAAAATTAAACTCAAAAGTCCACATATACCTTCCCTCATTTATTTCAAACTTTGGGGAAAGGGGGTGGGGTGCATGGGGGAGTTCTGGTGTATACGTAATACATTCGAGATTATTATTATTCTGTTAGACAGAAAGGCCCAAGGAGTTGTGATTTGCTGATCATGATCTAAAACACGTTGACAAACCCAAACCACATGGATTTATACACGTCCTTCCATTTACTTATTCATAATAATTTTCCTTGAAGGAGAAATGCATGGATAAAAGATAAAAGAAAATTCCCGATGTACAATAGCATCCATGCATGGACTTTTAGTACTTACATATTGTGCTTAAAGTTGAATAAAATCAACAAATAAATTTAATTTAAAGAGGACAGGGGGGGGGGGTATGTTTAATAAAATGAATTAGACATTAATTGATACAGGAAAACTCTCTGTTAGATACATGAATGTACATGAACAAAATGCCTCTCTCTTGCCTTCTTTCGTACATGTATTTTTAAACCAAGAAAAGTAATGTGTGTTACTTAGATATAAGTTCATAATTTTAAAGAAAATACTGAGTTATATACGATAAACGATACAAATGGTTTGACGATGGTGCCGGATATTATTTTAATAGTTTAAATTAGGTTGTAAAGGTGTTAATTACATGATAAGTTTGTGATATTCAGTACCTGCAGATTGTTATATAAGTTCTTAAATGTTCGATTCTGGACATAGGATGCGAGTTTATTACTACTTGCATGTACATTGTATAACTTGTTACCAATATTTAATCACGGAACAAAATTACAATGTTAGCACACTACCGGGTATACTAATCATTTACTGGATTTGAATAAATTATTTTACAAATTAAGTTCATTGCTTTAAAATCTTGAATTATTTTTTCAATTTTACTAGTATCAAACCTGTGATATAAATAGGCATTGTGCAGCACAGAAGCCACTTATGAAGTTTACACGTGCCGGAGTTACCTATCGATGTTTAATCCATTTCATTGACTATAATTCTATCCCTATGATTCGGAAGATTCTCTTTAAAAGTTTAAAATTGGTATAGACATAGTAAAAATCTGTGATGGAAGAAAATATGTTTGCGAAAATTTGTGTTGAAAACGGATTTATTTGTGTGTGAAAAGGGCAAAGCTTATGCATTTAAATCAATATTGGTTGAAGTAAAGTAACCACAGATCGCTAGAGTCCTTACGCAATGAATCGTCAAAATAAAAAGATGAAGACTGATTTTATGATTAATGTACTGAGTACATGTGAAGTAAATGCCCCAGCGTTTTGTGCTGAAGTCAAACCTAAGACAATTTAAGATTTTTTTGAAAGATTCTATTTACTTAAAGAAAATAATATTTTCCCGTAAATTTGTAAATTAGACACGTCTACCACCCGGTGTAAATTAATGTCAACAAGCGATGGAAAGAATGGTTGGTCGCGTAATTGTAAACAAACACAAAACCTAGATAGCTGATAAAATATGTATCACGTTCAAATTTAAAACAAAGTTAAGCCAACATAATAATCTCAAATATTCGACAATAAGAATTTTCCATTAATTGTCGTGTTGTTGAAAGGTTTTAATATATCAATTATTTTGCCTACGACTGCAGGGTCAATGGTTCACCGCGGAGTGTCGCTTTAGATTTCTCGGCCGCGTGTAATCGACGGATAGATTACGTAATGGTATACACACGTAGAATCTGTGTTCCAGGTGAATGTGAGAATCGAGCAGTAAATAATGGAGTATTATTTGACTCTTTGAAAAGTTTTTATGAGATCTGGGCGTATATTGTTTTCATTAAAATTGTTTGTGTTCATTTTAAGCAAACAAAAGATACTCGTACTTCTATCACTCTCCCTTTCTTGGAAAGATCTTTATTAATAAAAAGAAAAAAGTTGCCATCGAATACTCTGAACGGGAACCAAAGAACACGTTTAAAACCTCATCAAAAAAAAAAAAAAGAAAAAAAAAGAAAAGAAAATATGATCAGCGTTGAAAAAATATTTATTACTTATGGCATGTTCATTTCAATTACACGCATAAAAAGTTCTCCTTCAATAGCAAAATGAGAACGGTGCCATGTTTACGGATCTATCTTTCTCTCTTGCCATACGTAAGACTCGAACAAAATAATATTTTTAAAGGACAGAAATGATATAAAGGAACGATTTATAATCGACAACCATAGCAAAATATTTACCGTTTTTGAGTTATAAACAGAAACTTTCAAGGCTCCTTGATCCCTAATTTTAGGGGCCAGCCCCTTTTCAATTATATCAAATGAAAGCTCTTGCAATTATGCACAACTTTTATTCAATATGTCTTAACAAAATATTTTTAGTTTTCAAGATAAAAAGTAAAATATGTGTAATTTTTCGCTCTTTTATGCGTTCTAATTTTTGACCCCTATATATAGCGCCATTTTGAATACAGAAATCGAAAAACAAAAACTGGCATGCACAACTTTAGTCCTTCTTTATCTAAAATCAGTAGAATTTCTGCTCCAGCTTTTGTGGTCTTTATCTGGAAATGAAAGCCTATAAATTTTCATTTAAAGGGAAATAACTCAAAAGCGGGAGGACATTTTTGAAATATTAGACAACATTCTAATAGAGGGTATCGATGTGTATAATGTCTGAAAATTTGAGCAAAATCCGTTGAGAAATGAGTGAAATATGAGGCCTCAAGGTTACCGTCTAGGAAAAGGAAAAAAAAAGAATAATTAGAATAATCTTAATTATCAGAATCAGTAGAAGGTCTTCCGTTGTAAACGGCAGACCTTAATAACCCATGTGGCGAACTGGTTATAGGGTCTTCTGTATATTTGATCTTTACATCTCGATTTCGTTTCACACTGAGGGATGTGGAAACCAGTATAAACCAAGATCCCGTATCGCAGTAAGTGCTGGCAAAAATATTCCTTATATCTCCCTTTGAGGCAAAAATTCGCGAGTGGAAGTTAAGGTAGGACCTTTCTCACATTTCTTGTATTCCAAAATTAATGAAATTTTCACAGAATCAATAGGACAATATCACTAAGTGATGGTATCAGTGAGATTTAATTTGACCGTTTGATATTAGAGACAAGGTCAGGTCAAGGTCATTGCCTTTTTCCTGGACATTAAGAATAAAAAATTACTGTTTCCAATCATGCGATCCCTACTTGTAATTCAAAAGATTAAATATATTTCTTTTTGCACGAAAAGATACTACTATATAGGGCCTACATGATGATATTACCAAATTGACATGGATAATTTAAATAAAATGGATATTTGATAATCTGAATTTCCTCTACTTTTCTTAAATTTTTTTTTTAGGATTTATTAGTTAGTTTTATATGCTTCCTATATTTAACTTTTTCCAATTTTCACATACAGTAAAGTTGTCACATAAAGGTACAAAATGATACAAAAACTAAAAGTTTTGATCGTTTACTAAGAGAGAAATAACACCTTTTTAGGGATTTTTGGCTCAAATCTGTACTTAGATTTAAAGCATTTAAAAGCCAACATAGTTCTAGTATGGGTGAAAAATCTTATTTATTTGATATATTTTGAAACTTTAGTCCCTTATTATTAGTTTAACTTACATTTGAAAATTTCGTATAGTCTTTGATTGCGTAAAAATAATAACTAAAGTCAATGTTCTATAATAATTTTGAGAGGCAGAAAAGAAGATATTTTCATACGCCACCATTCCGCCAAAAATAAAGTCCCTGCTAGTTTTCAAACGCAGTTTACCATTTCTATTTAAAGTTGTATAATTGTGATGAGGAAAGAAAAATATGATATTTTAAATCCCTTACATTTAAATATATAAGACATATCAACAAATGTACTTTGAATATTCCATCTAGTCAGAAACTCGAGAAGAATCCTACCTTAAGCAATAAAAAACAAAAAGCACAATATAGTGGGATCCACATATGGTATTTATGCAGTGATTATAATTTTTACGCATTTAATGACATAGCTAGTTTCTCTTTATTTTACAAGAAAACGAATGAAGTTACTTAGTTAATTTTCGAAGAAATATTTTTTAATGACAAATGGGTTTAATAAAGATAAATGACCATTATACGGTGTATATATACATTAATAATACCGTGAAAGTCAAATAAATCCCACACTTTTTAATTTTTTGAATGAATCAGATCAAAAATCTAATATTGTAATAAATTTATCTTGTAATAAATAAAAATGCCATATTTCTGAACTCATTTTCAAAGGGATTCGATTCATTTGAAAATTAATTTGCTGCAACATCAAATTAAGATTTACCGGTCATAGATTTAACTTTAAGATGCAGGACTTCCATTGGATATTCTGATCATATATGTGACACGTCATTACATGTACTTAATTTAGTTTCATAAAATGCTGGTCTAACCATTCTACGGGGAAATTAATTTTCCGTAAAATGTTAAGCAAGTACATAAGAAAAACAATTGATGTATCAGTTAAAATGCTCTAGACTTTTGTATTTTTTTAATTCTCCAGCTTCATTATAAAGATCAGATTCTGTTAATCACGTAAAGAAAAATTTAAGTTGTTCATTATCTATGGCGTAGAATGTGATCAAGAGACTGACAATTTCCAAGTAGTTTTTATTATAATTTTTCTTCCATTTTTCTGAAATGTACAGTGTAATGATAATTTTATAATTTTTTTTATTTTCAATCCAAGGTCACAGTCATCCAATTATTCTAACTGAGGCAATCGTTTGAATAAAAAATGTGCAACAATTGTACAAGTAAAGGTACGTTGAGTTTTATAACTGCATTGAATTAAGGGATATTGCAGCCATATTTATCAACCTTTACATAAGTCTTAATCAACTAAAAGCAGTTGATTTTTTTTTTGCATTTTCAGAAAGTCTTCCAACGGGTCAATCTACAACATTGAATGTAACTAGAATACATCCAACACCCGGTAAGGTTGTCAGGTTTTGAGAAAAGGTATTATTTAAGCATTGAATTATTTTGTGAAAGATGCGTCTCATTACTGCAATGGTGTGTGCAATTAAATTGAGTAACGCGCGTTATGATAATTCAATGCTTATATTTACATTTTCTATCCCCTGTATTTTCCGCAATTTTGATTTTTCTATTTAAAATTCCTGCCTTATCCTTCATGTAATTGCAATTGATAGAAAAGCCTTTGGAACAGCTTAATCCGGTAACAAAAATAGTGCAAAATTATAATAGATAACAATAATCATATTATTATTTTTCAAATCTAAAATGATAAACTACATTCATTTTTGCAACAAAGAAATACAAATAAATCATATAACAGACATAAATGTTTCGCTTTGTTTAAACAGTAACGGCGTCGTCCCTGTATTCATACGCTAGACAAACTTTGGTGATTAGGTGTTGTGTGTTATGTGTATTTATCACTTGTAATTTTATAATGCTTTTTATTAGGGTCAATCAAAGTAAATGTAAAAATATACATGTATTATGCAGATGGCATGTTACACAATAATTATCAAGGCATTATAAAAGTAAACATTGATTTTCAATTTAAGTTAAAACGTTAAAACTCCAATTCCGTACTTAGGCCAGCCTAAATTAATTCTGAATTAACGTCACCTATAAACTCCAAAACCTACAAGGGAGGAAAGAAAAAAATAAAACAAACAAAATTTTCAAACAAATGAATATTTACTCATAAAATACTGTCAATATTTGTAATCATGTAAGCCTTTTGTAAGTAAACCTGTCACTATTAATGATGGATTATACTCACAGAGGGTTCAAATATATTGTCTATTTCTATGAAATGTATAGTTTTTAAAAGCAAACCGGGACAGAAACTTACAGAAAATATGGATTTGTTTGTTTTTTCTTTCACGTGCGCGGGTGATGTTAAAAGTAGAATTAAGTTTGTATATACCTAAACTTTTAAACTCTGCTGCATGTCAAAAGATGTTGATAATTTGGTCTAGCGATGGTCAGAGCTTACATACTGTGATATAATCACCATATATAAAATGCTACACAAAGTTTAGAAAAGAATTCTTCACCTAGAATAGTATTTGAAAAATCAAATTTGTTAACTGTGTATACATTTATCTACTTGTATTGAGTGAAAAAATCTTCTACAGTGTCAAAAACGGAATTCATTGCAAGGCATGTGAACTTAAAATAGAATACGCTTAAAGGCATATCACCCCCTTTTCAAAGAGAACTAATTTTTTACTTTGATATTCTTTTTTATGGACAGCAAGTACAACACCTCCAAGTGCCTGGAGCACAATTAAAATACTTTTTACAGGTATGAATGTAGTGCATGCTTTATATTTTAAATCTTAAAGACGACGTTTGACAAAACACACACACACACAAAATCATCTGCAATAATATACATTATCACTTAATAACTCCAGCATTTGGTTATCATGTTAAATAAAAAAAAACATTGATTTTTTGTTTTGGTTTTCAGAAAATCAGGAGATATTCATCAAGACAGGGATAGGAACAGGGGGCTTTCTATTGGGAATATTCTTAATGTTGATTGTTTCCAAGTGTAAGAAAAAGAAAGACACAGAGTAAGATTTTAGAATAAGCCTTTAAAGCGGGTTATAAAAAGTTGATTGAATTCTACAGACTCACTTACAAAGTACAGTACAAGGAATCGTAAGAAGGCGGTGAGAATAGAAATATATATATAAGCGAAGGTTGAAAGAGTCACAGTAAAACTTTCCAACCAAAATTCTTTAAAAGGAATATTGCTTTGTGACTCTACCTAGTTACGCATAAAAAAGTACGCTGTAAATATGATATGAATATAAATAAATGTGATTTTATCAAAATCAACAGCTTAAAAACTTACAGCTTTATACACAACCATTCCCACGATAAATTAAAGTCCAGGCTTCTTGATATCATTGACAGCTGCTTTTTCAATAAAAATAGAACTCGCAAATTCACTTACCTGGCCATTGGTTATTTGCAAAACTATTTTGTTAAAACACATTCTGATTGCAAACACAAGTAATATATAGTGGACATTAAAAAGATGCTTTAGTTTCTGATTGACAATATCTATATGTTTTTTGGTGAGCAGGTCTTCCAACAATCTATTGGAATTCAAATGGATACCAATTGCGCTCCGTTATTAGCAGACCTATTTTTGTATTCATATGAAGCAGAATTTTGTACAAAATTTTATTTGTGACTAGAAGAAAACGCTTGCCTTCAACTCAAAATTTAGTTATATCGACGACGTATTGTCAATTAACAATGGTAATTTCCATTCCTATGTCGATACGATATATCCTGGTAAGCTTGAGATAAAAGATACCAAAGAGTCTGACACATCTGCTTCCTAATTGGATATTTAACTTGAAAAAGACGTTAATGGTAAACTAACAACCAAGCTCTATGATAAACGAGATGACTTTAACTTTTCTATCGTCAACATTCATTATTTATGCAGCAATATATCTTCATCACCTGCAAACGGTGTTTATATATCTCAAGTAATTCAATACGCAAGAACATGCTCTACGTATGAACAGTTTCTAAAACGAGGTAAGTTATTGACTGACAAGTTGATGAAACAGGAATATTAGCAGTCTCGTTTAAAGTCATCATTTCGTAAGTTCTTTGGTCGATACAATGACCTTGTCAGCAAAATACAAGTTATCATTGAGTCAAATGCTGACTGACGTTTTTCATACTTTATTAGTCCGTTATTTATACACTGATTTGACGACGGATTTTTCCGTTATTTCCCGATCATGACAAGGAGCACATGGCAGGTGTGGCCGGTCGGCAGGGGATGCCTGATCCCACCTCTGATGTTTTAGAGGTCCGTGTTTGCTCTGCTCCTGTTTTGTTTTATGGACTTTGATATTGAATACTGTTCGTTTTCTCCATATCCCTCATGTACATGAACCTTTAGTTTTTGATAAGTGATAGAGCGGAGTTAAATATATATTGTCAATTTTAGTTTATAGTGAAGAAATTTTAATATGGCATCATTTTTTTTTTCAGTTTCTTGATTATTAAGTTGAATTAAGTTGATGTTTCCTTTGTTTTAGAATAAGCAGCACTTCAAATAATGGAGTGATTACCAATGGGCGCACACAGGAAGAGATGGACAGTCTACTGCAAAAGTATATTAGTGATGCCGTGCGTAATTATTAAATTAATAATCAAAATATTAGGACATGGAATGATCAAAAGAAAAGTGTCGGTGGTTACTTTGAGAATAGCTAAAAAGAAATTTGTAAAGCAAATTGATTTCGTAAAGAATCGGAAACTATATATTACCTCTGTTTGTATAATTGAAACTAGTAAGCTATGATTAACAGCTTTATATTGAAGCATTCTTAGGTAGTATGAATTAAAATTTGTGTAAATTATTATTACACCTTGTATTAGAGTACAAATATATATTGGTTAATCAAATATTAACATAGATATACATGAATGTTTAAGTATCTTTTTCTCCAGAACAGAAAAGCTTTAACTAGGCTGATGTAAATCGAAGCATCCTCGGATAGGGCTATTTAAGTTTCATTGAAACGCGACCCCCTTGGGATTCTTTGGGGCCATCATGAATCCTGAGAATTTAAATATGGAAGCATTTTCAAGAAGAATAAATTCAAGATTAATCAAATTATATCCCTAACACCCCCCTTTGGGGCCTTTTTATTTAAACTTTTGAATGATTAATTTATGGGTTTTTTTTCTGATAAAACTGCTTAAATTAGTAAGTGTTTCACAAGCACATTTTGTTTCTTCTTCTCTTTCTGTGCTTCATATAAATAAATGTTAATATAATTCTTGGATACGTACGTTTTTGATCATAGTTGAGGTCACACACGTTATATCATTTTCTGATATCTTTTTACAATAAAGAATCTACAGGGACACACTATATGTTCATATTTTTAATGTTGATTATATGATTATAAAATAGTTTCCATGAGTTTCTCAATTTCACATGCTGTTTCCTTTTAAAATTGCAGCATATTACACTCATAACAAAGACCATCTTTAAAAAATCAACATTATAATGTTGCTCTTGAACGTGGTACTTTATAATACGCAATTGGTAGATCTCTAAGAAAACTCCAGATTCAAATACGTTTTTATATCTACAGAACACTATGAAAAAACGATGGCAGAGCACAACATCCGAAGTTTATACCCCGCAGAAGAATACACCTTATGCTGAAAACGATATACCCATGGAATCCATGGGTTCTGTACAAATCAGTCATCAGGAATCTACAGGTTACTACCCCCCACCGACTGAAGAAGTACCGCCAAGGGAATACACCAACAGTGGTGTGGTTCAAAGTTACAGAGCTGAAGAAAACTTCGGAGTGCACGAAAGTACGGCGAGAGGTGAAAATTATTTTCTTCTACAGAAAGACTTTGTTGAAATCAATGGAATGCCGAATGAAGGTGTCCCACAAGGATATAGCGCAGATAATTACTTCCTTTTGGAAAGAGATTTTGTTGAAGGTGCTGACTCTCAGAATCAGGGCCAGATTACCGCTATTTAATTTTGACTAACGGCATCTTTGTGATGCATTGGGATAAGACAATTATTTTTTTTTCATATTGAATGGAAAAAAAACTTTCTTTCGTGTGTTGAATACGTGAAACGAAGTGTTTTCACATTAAATTCGCATTTATGCATTTGCATCTTGTTATTATAAAAATATTATCATAAAAAATGGGTAAGACGCTAGATGACTTTGCTTTTTGATTATCCTATTATAGATTAAAAACGTTAATCAACGGTACAAAATACACATCTATTAGTTTCCCACTAAAATCAGTCACAGATGTAGTTATTTTGAATTTGTTAGATTTATAAAACAAATGTCATCTTTACAAAGTGTACATTTGTTGCAGTTTACACTCATTTGATAAATTTTGTTTACAAAAAGAGTACCAAAATAAACATTAAAAGGGAAATGAATTGGAAAAGTCTGGAAAACCATGTTTAATCTGATTCCCATGATTGTTGTGTGTAAAATGGATTTACGAAACTGTTTGTCTTTACAAATTCAAATGCTTTAATAAGATTTTAAGAAAGTATATTATATTAGCTAGGAAAAAATTCCCTGAGAAACCGGAGAAAGACTTTTTTGTTACAGTTATATACACGAACCTCAGAGGGGGGATTATGTTTGAAGGGATACTTCACGCAAAAATTTAAAAATACCCATTACCTAAAAAAATTCAGGTTTTTCAGACTTCAAACATTGAAAAAAAATTAAGATTTTACATGAGTAAAAATACCAAACAGAACATAGATTTGACTTCGTTTGACCTGTTGAATATTACAGTTCATTACGTGATGTCCTTCTTAGAGTGTACTCGTGAAGAGAATTTCATTACATTCATTTACCTGACTTCAATCTAAATCAATTCTTGGAGAGTATTTGGTTTCCATTTTCAAACTTGGGCAAATAAACTGGGTTAATTTGAACGACCTCGCTTCCTGGTATTTTGTATATTTCACGTTTACATTGCTGTAAGACCGATGCACATATTCAAATTTTTAGAAAGAGAGAGTTCGACACTGACGCTGATCGATAGCCCCGCCATCCATTAATATAGATTGTGTGACCTAAAAGCTACTCCGGTATCATATTCCGGACGGCGACACTTCAGAGAAGTTTCAGAGATTTCGGGAATCCGTTAAATGGAGTATGCCTGGGCATGAACAATAGTTGTAAACGTGGGATAATTTGCATAACGGGCGAAGCGAATTATATTATAACAAAGAATATATTTAGATAATTACAATTTTATTTTATTACTATGTATCAGATATGTCATATAATAAACGTCGGTAAATATTTTTTTTTTATTTTGAAGGCTTCACGCTGAATTCTGATAGATAGTAAGGGTTACATGTAAATACTTTGATATTTCTTATAGATTTTTCATAGAAAAAGTTGCATTTTTGATCTTAAACAATCTCATATCATATGCATGCTAAGAAATACTATAAATCTATAGTGCATGTTCAGAAACATAGATAACAATATGAAGAAACAAACTTAAGCTTTTTTAAAAGCTTTTAGTTTACATTCAATATCATTAATTTAGAGGTCACCTTTTGAATTTCTACCTATTAGCGTCACTGCGTCTTTTGTTTTATTATCTTAATTTTCTCCCAAATAAAGTTATAAATTTTAAGTGTAGTCATTTTTAACATATATTATTTCATGTAATTCATGTAAAAATTCAATAAAAACTGGAATCTTTCGTCTTTCTTAATAACCATTTTAAATTTTGTTGTTTTTTTTTTGCAAAAGAAGTAAACAACCTACTTATCTGAATCAACAGTCCAGAATACCGATTAGAAAATTTGAAATTGTTTGAAATGGACATACAACTTACATCTTACATAAACAGTATTTCTGCAATTCATGGTTTTCTCTGATACACGATGACTGGCTACCGTACTTATTTATTCTACTTATGTCACCATCTAGCCTCCTAATTTGAAACCTTTCATCATAGAATATAGTGGCCTCAAATAAAGCACCTCCTGGCTTTGTTTCGATTTTAATTTTGTAATGCGCTTGGGGTTTTACTTTTCTCTTTCTGCTTTCAAGAACACTTTCAGAAATTTGAACTTTTGATGCATGTCTAATTTCTTCTAAGGCTAAGACCTTACATTTATCTTGAACATTACTTAACTTTCTGTGAAAGCTTCGGACAAGGAAATCGCTCAAAAAATTGATAGTATTGTCCGATGTATTCACAACTGTGTGTTCCACGCATGTACACCAGTGTGGTGCAATTCCTGCATCTTGATATGTTCTCTCCTTTGGAATCTCCCTAAATAAACTTATCCCTCTATTTTTATACCCCTTTCGTTGGAGAATCCTGTCGTCAAAGTGCAAGACGTCTCTCAATGTTTCGTAAATATCAAATGGGGTAGTAAGACGTTTTGTGTTTAATTCAAGATTTTTCGAATATAAAGGATATTTTTGTTTACACCACTTGAGGAAAACCAAATACATCATCGGCAGTCTTTCTTCCATCATTCCTTCGTAGGTATTACGATAGTCTCCGGTGCGAATTCCATGATCACTGAAAACGATAAGAAGAGTGTTGTTCAAAAGCTGGTCCTCATGTAATTCTCTTAAGAAATTTAAGACTAGGAGATCCGCATACTGTGCATAATAAAACTCGTCAGGGGTTAGTTTCGTTGCGAATGAAAAAGCAAAATAAGGTAAATTTTGTTGCAAACGAACAAATTTAGCTGCATAGTCCAATACCATTCCAGTTTCTAATCGATCCATCATACATAACATATCCCTATCCCACACAGATTTCCCTTCTTGCATAGCCATGGAGAAATGTCGATTATAATAGTCTGAGGGATATGAATGAAATCCAGCCATCATGTAATCAAAGGTTTCGTTTCTGTCCTCATTGTAAAGACTTCTGTACCCTTTAGCAGAAAATCGCTTCCAGATATAGTTATGCTTGTCAAATGGTACGTGTCTATAGGATTCATTATAGGGAATCTCTTCAACAAACTTTCCGAGTGTGAGTGCAGCAATATTTGGAAATGTGTTATCGCCTGTTTTATTACACATGGTCAGTTCTGATGCTTCTAAAACATCAAGAAGATAGGAATGTGTACGCTTCAGAGATCTAACTGACTGTAACCTTGAAATGTAGTCCAGCACCAGCAATATTACACTCATTTTTTCCTTGATTGCTGGATTTCCGGAATGCTATTTGAAAGTTTTGTTACACCGTCTTTAAACGTCAGGTTTTTGAAAAACTTAAGGAATAACTGTCTTATTTTTCGATTTCATGAAGTGATCAATCGATTGGCTTGCGTGATAATTTGCATAAACGCCGAAGGCGTTTATGCATAAAATTATCACGCAAGCCAATCGATTGATCATCTTCATGAAATTGAAAAATCTGACAGTTATTCCTTATATTTACATGCTTTGATTCCGCCAATCCACGTGCTCCAAGCCCTGCTTCTGTCTAGCTGTTTGTCCCGCCCTGCACGTGGTTTTTTTGGAACCGCGCCAATACATTGATGGAGAAATAAAGTACATTTACATTTGGTAATTTTATCTCGGACAAAGACATTGGAAATGTAAATATAAACAGGTGAAAGTTTGTATAAATGACGGTGTTTGTATTGTCAAAACATTTCACACGAACGAATTCGTCGGTGATGTTCAGAGATGTATAAAACTGCGTACTTTCCGGTCCATACCGACAGAATTTATGATTAGGGGCGTAGTCTGCTATAATAATAGGTTCGTATGTACAGTTTGAAAAAGTAGATGATTCATTAGAAAGTCTAACTGCTGTCCAATTAATTTCAAGCCTGTGTCTATTTTCAAATGTAAAAGATGTTCTTTTCTTACAATTTAGTTCGGTTTCGCCAATTTTAAACCTTACGCCAGGATTGTACACATCTTATTTCAGAATCTTGCAAATACTTATGCAGTTTTCTGCATTGTCGTGACGTTTGGAGAATATATAGGTCATTCTTATTTTCAGTGTCCCTGGTATATTGTTATACAATAATATGTAAAGTATGACGGTCAAGCAGAATAGCATCAATATCACTAAACAATCTGGCTTTCTGAAATAATAAAAACATGTAGTTATATTTAAATAGCATGAAATATAGAGGATTAGATAAAAAGATGAAATATAATTCAGGAATGAATGTGAATATAATATGCATCAGTTCAATTACTTCTAGATCTCATTCTTTCAAACCATCAATTTATTTCTACGATGTTCATACATGCCATATATAAGGTCAAATACAATTGGGATGAAAATACTTTTTTTACTTGCTGATCGAGTTCTACTTATCCATGTCTGTTAGGATTTTTCATCAGCTGTTTCAAAAGAAATTAAATGCTATCGAAACAACATACTAACGGAAGATGTTCAACTACAGGTTTCTTTTCAAAGTAATAAGGATATAATTATCATTGAATTTTATTATTAATATTCTGATCGATGTCTTTTTTTGTTTTAAATTTAGTCCCTTTTTTGATTATAATCATTATTATCATCCAAAGAGTAATTTACACTTGATATACTGTCAAGCAACAAGTTAAGAATTTTTGCACATAATCACATTTAGGCAAAATAGGATTCGATTTTCATTTACCAGTAAAAATATTTTATGCAAAGCCACGAAGTTCATCTAAGTGATTCTTTGATGACATCTTAACTAGTGTCGTGTAATCAGATTAGGGTTTGTACGAATTAATCTTTTTAGGTTTTTTTCCTCAAGATATCCTCGAGAAGAATATTGGGTATATGTACGTATCTTTGTTTACCTCTCTTTTATTTTAATCATATGTATTGTCTCTTTGACAAAGTCTTCTTTGACCACGTCGATTTTCTTTTGGAGTGTCCAGTGCCTCGCTTTTTGATGTTTCTATAAAAAAAAAACAAAAAAAAAAAAAAAAAAAAAAAAAAAAAAAAAAAACGACGTACAGAAAATAAAAGAGCCTCGGTCATCTATTAAATGTAGGAAACCATTAGGTATATCATGTGTATATTATGTACTATATTTGCATCATCTCTTTTTTTATACCAGTATATAAAAGTCGAATATATTAAATTTCAATTAATTTATGTTGTATTCATGTATTTTGCAGTAAAATTATATTCGACAATACTAAATACATAAAGTAACACAAGTAACCTACATTACACATGTACGAGAAGGCGTTTGACCAGTTCTCGTTGTCTTAACGATAATTGGACATTTGTTTAAATCTAGTATGCATTTTTCGGCTTATCTTCTTTTTAACACAATTTATTCACATTTACGCCTCATTAATTTTATTTACATATCTTTTTTTTACTTACTTTTTTTTCGACACTATCTAGAAAAAAAAAACATATCGCATGATTGGTTTTAAGGTATTCAATGTATAACGACCATATTTTGTACCTAATAAATGAATGGTCCGATTTTTTATTGGGGGGGGGGCGGGGGTAGCATTTTGAAGATGTTAATTGCACCTTAAATCTTACATTAAAGTCCATAGGTAGTGTATGTTCTTTTTAAGATACTGTAAAAAGTAATTCGATTTTTAAACAAATCTCTTGGTGAAAATATGCATACACGCCCTCTTCATGAAATTATGAAACAAAATGAA